CCCCTGGTCCAGACATAGAACCACCTGCATTCAAAATCAAGAGAGGAAGAAGGAAAGAAAAGAGGATCAAGGGCAAATTTGAAGTACCAAAGCCAAAAGAAACTTCAAGAATGGGGACCATAACATGTGGCAATTGTGGTCTCCAAGGGCATAGGTACACAAACTGTCTTAAACAGTTGAAGCCTGAGCTAGCTTTGAGGAAGAATAAGCATGTGGTAATAATTTTTCACCTTCAAATATACTAATGTTTTCTTTCTTGTACATTTCTTTCTAGCATTATTAACTGTTTCCTTTTCTTTGCAAGGCTAATCCAAGTACCTCACAGCCAAGAGCTGCTGGTCCTTCTACTGCACCAACAGCAAGACAACCAAGACCTGCTGCTTCTGCTCCTACACCACCAGCATCTGCAAGAAGAGGAGCTGGCAGAGGAAGAGGAGCTGCTACTTCTACTACAACACCACCATCTGGAAGAGGAAGAGGAGCTGGCAGAGGAAGAGGAGCTGCTACTTCTACTACACCACCACCATCTGGAAGAGGAGCTGGCAGAGGCAGAGGAAGAGCTGGAAGAGGTGCTCCAATGCCATTCATTGCCCCAAGGCAATATGCTGACATTCCTACTGATGGCACACACACTGGATGGATGTCCTACTTCACTGCTAGCATGGGAGGTGGAGGAGCCATGTAATGTCAAATATTGTGGTGTTATTTTGGTTAAACTTGATGCTTGAGGTGGAGTACTGGTGGAGTACTCTAGTAATGTTGAACTTGATGCTTGTAATGTTGAACTGGATGGATATGTGGTTGAACTTTAGGTGATTATCTGAATGTTGAACTTTAGTTGGTTATCTGAACTTGCTACTGGATGCTGGTAATGAGAGTTGTTTGTGACAAATTAGTACCACATTTGCAGATTATTGTGACAAATCAGTACCAATTCTGCCGCTAGCTGTTGCATGTCAGTACCAATATTGGGGCATCACATAACATGCAGTACCACATTTGGGGATTCTGACATGTGGGCCATCCACCTTTCCTACTATTAAAGTGTGACAGCACAAGATCTCACAGCAGTGTGGGGACGAAACTAGGGTTCATCCGCGCAGCCAAGGACAAATCTCAGAGGCGAGGCGCTGACTGGGGCCGGCGGCGGAGAGATGTCGTGGTCGTCCAGTGCCGGGTCCGCTCCCGGATTTCGTCGAGCTGCAGGAAGGAGGGGGGAGGAGTCGCGCTCGCCGGTGCGCTACCGCGAGAACCCAATGGCATACGAGCCTCCGGTGATGTGCCACTGTTCAACTCCGAGGAAGGCGCCAAGATGGATCTCCTGGAGCAGGCAGAACCCTGGTAGGAGGTACTACAGCTGCGTGGATGCTATGGTGAGTGCTGTTTTTTCCCTAATTTTCTTCCTCTTTCTTCTGTGCAATAATTTTTGGCAGCATGGTGAATTTGCTTGTGTATCTTAATAGCACGGTGGCTGTGGATTTGTGCAATGGCATGATGATCCATTGCCCACATTCTGGAGTGAGCTCATTGGGGATCTGCGTGATGAAGTATGGAGGCTTAAAGGTGCAACTGTTGCTAGATCTGAAGATCAATTTCCAATCCTGACTCCAAGTGAAGATGATGGCACAAGGGAGGCCATGTTTCTGTCTCTGCAAACTCAACTCAGAGAGAAGAATGCAGAGATTGCAGGGATTAGGGCCAAATTTCACAATGTGTTGTTTCTTTTCACTATATTTGTGCTTGGCTTAGTTGCAGGCAAGATATTAAATTAGTTAGTTGCTTCAGTTGTAGCCAAGTTGTAATGGATCAAGTTGTAATGGATCAGTGAAGTTATCTTCTGATGCAATGAGATTTAGTGAGTCTTGTTCCTCTTTTATTGCAATGTACTGTCTGGTTTGCTGCAACATTGTCATAATGTACAATCTACATAATCAGCATAACCATAGCAATACATAACCATACATAATAAGAAACTGATCCATACATAGCAATACATAACCATTGTTCACAATACATAGAGGAGTTCCACTTCAAATGCATAGTTCATCCTTTTCTCACAAAAGGATGAATAGCATAACTACTACATACATACACAGCCATAGTTCACCATTAGTACAAGCATACAGTACACAACATTAGTTCCTAGATGCTAGGTCATTACACAACCATCATTCCCAAAAGGTCAGCAATGCCACTAATCTCATTTCATCTTCTTCACTTCTCCAAGATGGCTTGAATCCCCCTGAACTTCTCCTTCAACTTTTCATTCTGAAACTCTAACTGCCACTTCTCTTCAATATGCTTTTTATTTCCCTTAAGCAGATCAACAACCTGAAGCTTCAACTCTAGCTTCTCTTGGGTGAGCTTCTCCTGACACTTAGTTAGCTTTGCATTCTTCAGCTCCAAATTCATACTAGCTTCAGTAAGCACTTGCTTCTCTTTCATTTTGTTCAACTTCAAGTTCTGAATGACTGTTGCTTGAGCTCTTGTCAGGTTGAGCAGCACCTCATACTTCTGAGTAAGTTGCTGGGTCTCTGCATCTTTCTTTGCCATCTTTGCCTTCATATCATCAGTCAGTTCTTTTCTTACCTCCTGCTGATATATAATGGCAGACTGCAGATGCCTGAAATCCACCACCTTATCTTCCTGGAAGTTCATCAGCTCATGCACATCTTGGACTAGCTTGTCATAGTTGGCCTCCAGCTTGTTCTTCTCTTCTGTCAGATGGTGGATAGTGAAAGAATTCTCAAGATTGTCATTCACCCTAGCACTTTTGGCATCTTCAACCATTGCCCATAGCTTCAACAATGCATTCTGCATTGTTGGGGGCCACTGGTGATCAACCCATTCAACAAAGCCACAATTGCTACCTTCCTGCAAAAACAATAACAACAACAAAACAGTTCATACAGCAAGTAATTACACAAAATCACTGCAGTTGCCAAAAAGAATGTCTAAATTTAGCATCAGACCACTAAATTTAACAAGAGGAGCAACCACTTGAGTAGCTGACTGACTAGGTTCAGCCATTGTTCTAATGCAAAATATACTCATGCTTCACCTAAATACGCTACTCTAACCACTATGAATCAAAATGTTGACACCAAGCAGAGTACTCCAGCAAACAGAGTTCAATATGGCACTGACCAAGTAAGAAAAAAAATCAGTATGCCTACAATCCTACAATACATACCGACTGTGCACATGCTAAAAACCTCCTGCCTGTGTCTGTTCCTTCAAAGGCAACAAGCCTCTCAGATGCCATGCCGTGCTTCTCACATGGACACATCACATCCAGCTCAAGCCCCTTGTAATCTGGATCTTCAATGGTGAAAGGAACCTGCAGAAGCTCGCACAAAGACAATGGCCAAATCAAAACCTAGCGAAATCAACCAAATCAAGAAATCCCAAATATGAAACCCTAACCCTAACCCTGTACTGACCTCGTTCAGACCGTCTGTGGAGGAAGAATGCATGTACGGGGGGCTAGAATGGTCGTCGCTGCTTTCGTCCTCCAAAACCATGGCGACGGCGGGGCGGTGCGGCGGCCGGCCGGCTGTCGGGACGCGGTCGGCGGCGATGGAGGAAACGAGCGAGGAGGAGGAGGGGGAGGGGAATGGTGCGGCCGGACTGGAGCTGGTGCGACCGGGCCGGTTAGGACAGCAGCGCACCGGCTCGTCCTAATCAGCACGCGGACACGCGCCGATTGGCCAGCGTGGCACCTGACGGGTGGGCCCGACCTGTCGGATCGGGCGTCAATACGTATAAATACGCGTTTTAGTCCAATTTGCAAAAATTTGGATTAATGTTGGTACTGACACGCAAAAATTAGCAATCGTGATACCAATCTGCATGTGATGCCTGAATTGTAGTACTTCTGTGCAATTAACTCCGTTTCGTTCCTTTCCGTCCCCCCGGAGTACCCCGACCAAACCTCGCTCCTCGTTTGGTTCCCCAATCTCCTCCTTCCTGCCTAGCGCGGCGGCGAACCGGCGGCAGGCAAGAGGCGGGGCAGCGCCAAGCAGCGGAGCCGGCGAACAGGTTCGGTTCTGCATCTCCTCCCTGATTCCGTCCGGCGCTGGCACCGCGGCCCGCACGCTAGCTAGCGTCCTGTCACCAGCATAGATAGGCAGGCCATGGCTGCTGCGGCCGGCTTACAGAGGGCCGACGGGGAGGGGCCCTCCTCTACTCTGCTCCCGGAGGGCAGAGGGGAGTAGTACTACCATTTTTTGCAATACTAATGCCGGCTGCTGCTTGGGTTGCCAAGCCCGCCTCTAGGCTTTAGTGCAGAGGGAAATCTGAGAAGCCTGATGTCCGTCTGTCTTTTGATTTCCGCGAGCACTCGCAACAAAATTAACTGCTCACAAATCTCCCAGTGGAACATCAAGGGGCGCACTTTGATTACTAGCTGCTAGTATGTCTCTTGGTGTGATATATTTTTTTTTTGAAACGGCTCTTGGTGTGATCTACCGGTACACACGCATATTTGTTCACACCAACGGGAGCAGCATATATAGATAGAGGCCGGAGGCACCGTTCTCTCTCTCGTTTCGCTTGTTGTTGCATGATGGATCTGTCCAAGTATGTGACCTATCTGATATCCTTCTTCCGTAGGTATGTGGACGAATTAAGTCCTCGTGCCAAACAATTAAACAGTAATCTCCTATGTACTGTCCAAGTATATGCCCGATTCCCTTTTTAGATGATGATGATGATGATGATGACGAACCTACTATTAGTTTGATTTGATGGTCCCAGACCAAAGCATGGCTTGGATCATCTTCTGCTAGTAGTTTGGCTACTAAATTGCATGAGTCGAAATTTTGACCCTCCATCCAGGACGGATGGACGGATGTCCTTGAACCTGTAGGATATCCTTCTGGGGAAGAGAGAAAAGAAACTCATTTTCTCTGACAACTCCAAAGCCGTTGCGTCTTTCTCCCTTCCTTGGCTGCTAACTGGATTTGCGTCTCAGGCTCAGGATCCGGGCGTTCCGTGCGATGGGAGGAGACGGCGGCACGGAGGAGGAGCTGACGGCACAGGAGACAGCGCTCTATGACCGCCAGATCCGCGTCTGGGGCGTTGATGCTCAGAAGAGGTGTGCCCCTCCCCTCCCAAGAACCCCCAGCTCTGCTCCTGCTATTTTTTCCCCTTTCTTTCTTTTACCGCATCATTTTTGTACTTCTGTTGGGTTTTTGTGTCGGGAAAACCTCGTTTGGTCTTATGAGAATTTTCAAACCAAGATTCAACTTTTTGGATCATATGAAACTTAACCTTCTGCTACGACTATGGACTTTCCCCTGATTATGTGGACCTGGTTTTATCCTTTCGGTAGAAACTCTCAGACTTGTTTTTTTTTTCTGCCAATGTTCTGTGCTCTATTTCGTTTATTTATAACATCTGTCTTTTACTGGTTTTTGCTACCTTCTGTAACACTGTTTGGGTGCATTATATATGTGTTGCTTGGAACAGGCTAAGTAAAGCACATGTGCTTGTGTGCGGCGTGAACGGTACTACTATTGAGGTGGGTAACTAAAATTGTCTTCTATTATTATGCTTCGCAGTTAATTTGCCTTTAAAAGGAGCTTTGATGGTCTCCTATTGTTTATGAAAAGATAGCATTGAAAAATTAGGGTTCAAGGTGTTGTAACTAGTATTTGCGGTAATGTTCTGTGTTTGCATCGCTCAAATGAATAAGTTACAATTCAGCCATTTTTAGTTTCTTTAAACTGTCTGTGTTCTAGACTGCTACTTTTCTTTGTAAGCGCTTAATCTTTTTCTTTGCTAGATAAAGGGAATTAAATTTGAACTCATCGTTCCTTTCATTTCTGATGGCATATTCTTAACTTAGCTTTTCGCCCTCTGTCATCTCATGTTCCATCTTGCCAATGCGCACTTATTTTTCAAACAGAGGTCCCCAATTCTTCTGAACTTTAGTCGAATTTCAATAATTTAACTTCTCATGTCATTTACAATTTAGTTAATTTACTGAAAGTACCCACATACACTAAGTTGATTTCTCTCCTGCTCCGCAGTTCTGCAAGAATATTGTTCTAGCAGGAGTTGGCAGTTTATCCTTGATGGATGATCACATAGTCACTGAGGATGATCTCAGTGCAAACTTCCTAATTCCTCATGACGTATGTATGCAAGGTGTTAGCTCACGAGCTGAGGCTTGCTGCGAGTCCTTGAAAGATTTCAATCCAATGGTCCGAGTTGCTGTCGCAATAGGTGTGGTGTATAGTTTGATGCACTTCTTTTTAATTAGTTTGGTTATTAAATTTAAGAAAAATACATTATACAAAGTGATCATGTCTTGTATTCTTGAATTGGCGTTCAGTTTATTGTGTCTACTGATAATGCTGCTATAGTTGAAAAAGTTCTTACAAGAAAGATCATTTTGTGATAGGAACAAGCAGTTGTTATGTCTGTTTTACTAATATTAGTTCTGTCAGAGAAATTTTCAACCATTCTTTGGTGGCCATAAAATCTGATGTTCTTTTTTACAGTATTGATTGGAAAAGTTATGACTATCATGTTGTTTCCTCCAGGTGATCCATCACTAATTGATGAAGGATTCGTTGACAGGTTCGACATCATTGTAGTTAGCTGTGCATCTCTTAAAACAAAGGTGCAGATCCTTATCTAAAGTAATATTTTCACTAGGTTCAGTTTCTTTTGTCACGTGTTCTGTTTCTTATCCTCACTGTTTTTGCATCTGTGTTATGTTTTTAGTTGTTCCTTAATGACAACTGTCGGAAGAGAAGCAAGCATATTGCCTTTTACTCTGTAGAGTGCAAGGATTCTTGTGGTGAAATATTTGTTGATTTGCAGAACCATAGTTATCTTCAGGTATGTATTACTCAAGGACATGTGACATCTAGTCTATTGATACATCACTTAACTTTGTATTACTTCCGTTGTTTTTCACAACTAGAAGTTGAAGGACATGTATGCCTTCTAAGTGTGCCTGCGATTGTTCTATGTTCAGTTGTCACCTCTAATAAGATATACCTGCTTGTGTGCATGCATGTTCAAAGTTGTACTAATTACCATGCAATTAAGCTGATGAGCCATGCAATGAAGCAATGTTAGAGGGTCATTGAGTATGGCGCTAAATGTTGGCCTACTAAAAGGCGGCATGTCCAACAGTTAGGTGTAGCAGAGCTGCGCATGTTGAGATGGAATGATCGGGTCGGGATAAGAGTTGCGGTGGCACCGTTTGAAGAGAAGCTTGTCCAACATCGTCTGAGATGGTTTGGGCATCCAGAAGGGCCAGTGAATAGTGGGCCGTTATGGAGTGCATCCGTTAAGGAGTGCATAGTGGGAGGTTAAGGCATGTTGATAATGTCAAGAGAGGTCGGGGTAGACCAAACTTGACATTGGAAGAGTCTGTAAAGAGAGATTTGAAGGACTCGAATATCACCAAAGATTTAGCCATGGACAGGAGTGCGTGAAAATTAGCTATCCACGTGCCAGAACCATGACTTGGTTTCGGTATCTTATGGGTTTCAACTCTAGCCTACCCCAACTTGTTTGGGACTGAAAAGCTTTCTTGTTGTTTGTGCTTTTCTCTTGTAATTCATAAATATCTCGTTATCTTTTCCATATCTATATCTTTACTCCTATACTCCTATAAATAATTGAGTTGGCAATGATGGTTCGACTGCCATCTACCTCCCCTCCACTAAAAGTAAATGGCCTTTCTGATTATTTTGATGTTCGACTCTAGGCTACCAGCGAAGTAATCTTGGGCCGTGCCTACTTTATTTTCAAGATACATAATGGTGGCACCTTCTGCATTGGCATGTTTGATTTTGGATTGATTGTCGCATTATGGCGGGCTATTCAACTTGTCAGCATATAAAAACCCAATATTCCTGTGGTGATCTCACTGGCTGTCTATATTTTGGTCTGCCAATTCTTAAATGGCTGATAAACAAAAGTGGGCACCTTATGGTGCTTAAACAGGGCACAGTTTACATATCGAATCTGGTACCAGGGATTCAGTTCTATAAAAACCGCTTCTGGTTCAATTACCATGGTGATTCAGTTTCTTATGCTTTGCAAATTAACGTTAGGTCGTTAGCTAGTGGAACACATTTTCTATCTTCAGTTCATTCTTAAAATGTATTTCTGAAATTGTGTTTATTTTTTCAGAAGAAGCCTGGAGGAGAACCTGAACAGCAGGAGTTGACATATGCTAGCCTGCAGGTATGGAAGTTTGATTTGATTTTTTGGTAGTTTGGTCTTCGTTGAGACAAACTCTTTCAGTATGCATGCTCATGTTTTGTATTCCTCAAGTTGGTGATCCTTGTTTTGCTGCCATGTGCTGTTCTCAGGAGTATTTTGTTTGCAACTTATACATATTACATGATGCACAGAAGCAATTCAAGTTATGTGTTTATATTATAATATGAAAAACATGCTGATACCTCCTACGATAAACATTTTATTTTTCGTGACAGCAGGGAAAAAGATGAAAGTAAATGCTTTTATTGCCTTTCGTTTCTTCCTTTAGTTCTGATGTGGCTCTACGATGCCACCTACCCTTATTTGGAAAGGCCTGCATTTTCTTTTTTGTGTAAAACATTTCTTGGAGGTAGCTCTGGTGTCTGGTCTTTATTCTTTTTACACTGCCTCTGTGCTTTCTTGATACTTATGCATGATTGCTAATGTTATCTTGTTTTTTCTTTGTCTGTCACCACTTAAATACTGGTTCAATCTGTTATTGTACTCATGATGCTATATTACTCCTGTCATGTAGTCCAGTTATAAAGTATTACTGGAATACCTGTATATGATTTGATTGCAGGAGATGTTACCAAACCCTTTAGGATGCTTCAATTGCCAAATATAACAATCAATTCCGATGATTGCAATTGTATCACTACCCTTCTGCATGCTTCAGGCGTCAAGTATTGCAAATTGAAGTACAATGGCTGCATTTACATTTTGTTTGTTTTTATACAGGAAGCTATTTCTGTGCCCTGGAAGAATCTGCCCAAGAAAACAACTAAATTGTACTACGCCATGAGAGGTGATGATATGATAACTTAAGTTACTGTTCCTAAGGTTTATCTCGTCTAATAGTGACAACTGAAAATGGGCGTTTGTTTACTTTCTTGGCCTTCTTTTTTCCTGGGTAAATATCAGGCAAAAATGTGATTATGGTGAAAACTCGTGAAATTCAGGTGTTGAAATTTCAGAATAAATAAACATTATCAGATGTAGGGGGTGGGTGCATGTTCCATATCCTTGCAAGATTTAAGATCGATGTGATTCATTTGTGATGTACAGTAGTGGAACAGATCAAATTGAGTCGTTGTTTCACTAACTATTTTCTTTTTCGTACCTCAAAGCAAATGAGCTTGCTCCTGATATTTCACAGAAAGAGAACATAACATCTTATATTCAATTAGTTTTCTGAGATTTTCTGTAGGACTCCTATATTTATTTTTCAACAAAAAAATTACTGGTCTGTATGTTCACTTGATCTTCCATACAGAACCCTCTTGACTGTTACCTGTGTATTTTTCGCTGTCTTGGTTTTGTAACTAGCATAAATATGTCGTTTTGCAGTCTTGGAAAGTTATGAATTATCTGAAGGGCGCAATCCTGGTGAGACAGGACTTTCTGATCTACCTGCAGTTTTGGCTTGGAGGAAGGATATGTGTGATAGAATGGTACAGCTTTTGTTGTTTGTCGTACTTTGAGTAATTGAGTCACGTTTCTTCAGATATTTTTCCTGTTACTGTAAACTGCAGTCTTTAAGTGAGTCTCAAATTCCTACGGCTCTCCTGGAACGGCTTTTAGCAGCTGGAAAGAAGGAACATCCTCCTGTATGTGCAATCCTTGGTGGCATTCTTGGTCAGGTAGGTCCAATCTCCCATCCGCTATTTTCTGTTTCTTCTATTGTTTAATTCTTGTGATAGCCGGAAAATAAGAAAGTAATCTATATAATTTAGGTATAGATCAGTGTCTTTTTTTTCTTCAAATGCGGAACATAGTAGCTCAATAGAAAATGTAGTTATCTCAAGCAACGCATGGTATTTAAGTTATTACTAGGAAAAAGTAGGCGACATACGGAGATGATACTTTGAATTCTTATATATGGACTGTTTCCGTTTTAATTCGCAGTCTAGGGCATTTGTACTTGTGCTAGCAGGGAAAGGAAGGCAACCAAAATATGTATCAATATGAAATATGATAATATGAAATACATCTCTCTTGTGATTTCCCACATGTGACTGTGAGCCCTCAAATAGTGGGTGAGATAGTCATAGTGCAAGCCTAAAGAGTCCATGTCTATATATAATTATGTTTTTGCGACAAGTACTGCATAGATTGTTGGATCGGATGCAAAGGTTACTAGCTTTTCTGTTTACCAGCTGTAGGATTTGTTTTAGCCTTTATAATGCTACTGTTTGTTTAATAAAAAATTGCATCAGTTACGGGTTCAGTTGAATAGCGGTCATGTGTGTGTTTCAATAGAGGCATTTGACTTGTCCATTATCTTCAGCAAGCTAGTGAATTTGGTTAGAGGGGATTAGATTCTTAGGAGAGTTGAAAGGATTTGAGTTCTATTCCAAATTAACTTCTTTTGCTCTTCTTTTTTCGTTGTAAAATGTTCTTGCGCTGTGAATGTATCTATCTCTGTAACAAGAAACTGAAAATATAATTAAAGAAGGATTACTTGTCTGGTTACATAGTTTGATATGTTTGTTTCCTAAATCAATTTAAAATTTACATGAGGCCTATACGTGGACTTGAACTCAAGACCTTAGGCCCTGATACCATGTTAAGCTTCATGCACTAGCCAACGCAACCAAAAGTCCGAACCGATGAAAGGGGCTAGGCAACCCACATATACACTTCAACAAAACCATGGTCAAACCAGGCCTGTTTGCACACCGGAGAGCAGTTCAACCTGCTGCATATCACTCGTGCTAGAAAAAAAGTTGCAGGCTCAAGTACTCAAACTCATGACCTAATGCTTCAGTGCAGAGCTAGCGCCCCCTACCTAGTGAACTTGGCTGTGCTGTTTTGGTGATTGTGATGCAGAAATAAAGTTACTTGCTCCATAACCAAAGAACAGTAGTACTACTAATTTTATACTTGCTAGGCCAGCGATCAAACGAATGAACCGGCATTCCAAGCGCTGAACCAGTGAATCAAGGTAGAGTGGTGCTACACGTACGATGAAAATTCATCCGAAGTAATCTGGGCTTGTGGGCCACATCAGATTGAATCAAGCCTCTCTCTTGTCGTACAGAATCGGATGAGAAAAAATCGTATGTAAGGCAATTCCGATCAAGGTACTCACTGGTTTGGTTTTCAAAACTATGGTTTATGGATAGCTCTTGGTAAGTTTAGAAATTGCATTAACAAACCACTTGGTGGAAGCTAGCTGTGGTTTGAAATTTTCCACATGAATTGTTCAAAGAGAAAAAAATCAAGCACACAAACGTAATTGATCTAAGAAGGATGCATTAGAACTTGTGATGTTTGCTGAAACAGGTAGACAAACCTTCCATTTATGTTTTGCTGCAAAAAAAAAACTGCAGGAGTGTGAATCTATTTTCATTTCAAGCCTTCTTATATTTGGATATTTTCTGTGGCATAATGATGACAGCTTTGCACTTGTTTTTTGGATCTAACAGGAGGTGATTAAGTCAATATCTTGTAAGGGCGATCCGATCAAGAATTTCTTTTATTACGACGCAGCTGATGGTAAAGGGATCATGGAGGACATCCCCCCAACTCCCGTAGAGCATTTTGCATGATGTCTAGCTCGCATTGGTCATTAATCGCTGATTATTGTACCCAATCATTAGAGCCGAACATGTGACAACTTCTTATCATGGCTGCGGCAGAAAACTCATGTTACCTCCGTTCCATTTTTTTCTTGTCTAGATATGGATATATCTAACACTCGAACGTGACTAGATACATCCGTATATAGACAAATCAAAGACAGAATTTTGGGACAGAGGGCGTACTTAATATTTTAGCGTTGGCACCCCAGTATTGTATTGAACAGAATTGACATTCTCTTGATCTCCTCTGACCAATTTTAAAGCTGAAGTCAGCCAGATTTTCATTCTCATTGAATGATGAAATGCTTTATTGATTCTGCTTGCCCTGTGCCCGTGCTGGTACAAGTAGTTGGATATTACGAGTTGGTTCATGACTGCCTCTGGAGGTGGGCAGAATGGCTTACATGTAGTTCATGTCTGTTTACAGGTAGTTCATACTCTATTCCAGAGGTAACATAAACCGGCCATGGCAGTACAATTGTCCAATTCTGAAAATTAAAATAGGCAATATATGAAATACTCCTGTATCTGGAGTTTATTATTGTCTCCTTGATCTGCTGATGTTCATCGGCCCAAAGGGCAAATCTGTTTCATGGACTAATATGTTCGCTGCACGACTTCAGCTCTTTGCCTTTCAAAGCCCCGCGCTTTCACAGCCAAAACTGGGCTGTCTCCGGCCTCTGCTTCCTCATGGACCCCTTCGCCTTGGCCGCTGCAGCTAAGTCCTGGTATGACTGTGCCTCATTGCCTTTCCCTCTGCCATCGCCATTGACGGCACCTAACCCAAGAAGGTGCAAGCTTGATGCAGACGTGGTGTTGAAGCTGTCCGACTCATTGGCCGCACAACAAGAATAGGGTGGTCTGTGCCTTGTGCGGCAATCTGCCTGAGCTCAACACCTTCTCCGAAGTGGCCAGAAAATGACCGAACAAGGCCAAGCAGGTCATCCGTCTGGAGCTTGCACTGTGGTCTGCACACTAGGGTCATGTCATCCGTGTAGGGAGGCGGTGGTGGCGGCAACTGGAAGGAGGTCCAAGCAGGGTTGCCTGGGTTGGCGGGTCGCTTGCAGAGGACGGAGGAAGAGGTCGGCCGCATGCTGTTGTTCTGGGAGCTCCAGCAGGAGGATGGCAATGGCAGCTGCCCATTTCTTCCAAGTTGGTCACAATAGTACTGGGCAGGTCGCTGGTGATGGTAGTAACCCCTGCTGTTACCATTGTTCCGAGGAAAAACAGGGGGAAACTGAAACAACTATGTGCAAATGGATCAGAAAAGAAAGAAAGAAAAACGCTTATATCAAGGTCATCCCAAGTAAGTTTAGCTGTTCAGGTTTTTTTTTTTCCTGAAGCATTCTTACACTGGATAGGTGATGAGGTAGTTTTTGGCCTGTTTTGGGAACTAAACTAACAGGATCATTTCCTCTGAGGAATGACAAATAGGAGGCCCTAGTTTCTCCTTGAGGCAGAACTCCAGCATATCTGGTGTGATGTTGAGGCAGATAACTTGAGCTGCCACCAAGGGATGCACTAGAATTTGTGGCATCTATAACATATGGTTTGTGCTCAAAATTAAAGCAAGGTGGCGCTTTGCTGCTCCTGGTTTTTAAAATCTGATTTGAACATATTTTGAAATGTCACAAAATTCGGATATTTTTTTTATGTGCACATCTTAGCATTCTATGTGTTCACATTTTTTGTATCTTGTATAAAAAGAGAAAAATTGGTGCTTAAAATTGTTTTTTATGAGACTTTTTTTTGCATGGGCGACACGAAATGTCAAATTTTTGCGAAACTTGGTGTGCGGCACATAGAATGTCGAGATGTATGCGCAAATTTTTTGATCGGATTTTTTGACATTTCAAAATATTTTTACCCGTGGAAGGAGCATAAGCTCCATGTGCCAAAGTGAATTACCAAAATCAATGGTCAAAGTTAGACCCAATTTATAAAGTGGTCTTGTATATATAGAAAAACGGAGGAAGTAACTCACAGATATAGTACGACGAACATAGCCTGTATACATGACATACAGTTAAATAAATGAAAACAGCCGGTGCATTTCTTTTCCTTGCTAGCTAGCTACATCCAGAACGCTACGGGAGCAAAAGACGAGAGCTGCCTAGATGCAGGACAAGATGTGGTGTTTCTGTCGACGATTCGCAGCTTACCCTCATGATTATACCTGAGGCGAAACGTGGTCATGTTGAGCACGAAGCCATGAGGGTCGTCAAAGGCGTCCTGGAACTCGAATCCATCGGCCACCACGCAATCAACAAGGAAAAACCTGGAGTTGCCCATGCACGTCGTCGGCGGTGACAAAAAAGTTGAGGGCGTTGAGAAGCGCGTCCGGGAGGGGATTGCCGATGGCCAGCGCGGCGGCTTCCATGTCGAAGACCACGGTTGCGGCGCATCGGTTGCTGGTGGCTATAATGTTGCTGCCCAGAGCGGCAAAGTCCATGGCATGGTTGTTCAGAGGTGACGCTAGCCGGAAGACGGGGGGCGCGTCCAGCTTAGGGTTGTTGGCGTCGAGCTTGCGGATGGTGAAGCCCCGGTGCCAGTCGTCTAGAACCAGGTAGAGGCTCTTGTGCTTGTTGCCGCTGCGGCCGTGGTAGTTGGCCGCCTGGCCCTCCTCCTCGTCCTGCCGTCGTCGCTTAGACATACTACAAACCGGAGAGCAAAGTTGATGAGAGATCAATTCAATCGATCGATCTGATCACACCAAAATAATACAAACACTATTGCCAAAGGCAGTATTGTGCCTCTTTCAATCTCTTTATTACTTCTCGCGACCTCACGCACGTTACAATCCTCCGGTCTACAACGCTACGGTGCTCATGCTTATATAGGCACCAACGTACTGAGTAAAACCAGTATATAATTTACCTATTCCTACTACTACTGGAACTAGAGTTCCTAGTTCAACTCGGACAAGTACTTAAAACAAATTTTTTTAATAGATCAGAGTGAGATCTGGTCTAAAATTTCTAAACATGGACGGGGCAAGCACCCTAAGAAAGCCCTTTTCATATGAATTGCCTCTTCTGGAATATTAGAGGGATCACTACACATGGGAAAAAAACATGTATAGTTGACAACCTCAATAAAACTAATGCCAGCATAGTAGCTTTTCAGGAAACTAAAAAAGAAGAGTTATCTACATCTTTCTTGAAATCCATTAGTGGCAACAAAAACTTCCAATGGCACCACCTCCCTGCAGTGGGAACATCAGGAGGTGTCTTAGTTGGAGTAGATGTGGATATCTTTGATATTCTACAATGGAGCCACCTCAATTTTTCAGTTTCTTGTGATCTTAAAGTTAAAACTAGTGGTGTTTGCTTTAGAGTGGTAGCTGTGTATGGTTCCCCATATGATGAAGGAAAAGATGACTTCATCTCAGAACTGCATAGCTTGTTTGTAGATGAACATCTTCCTACTCTAATAGGGGGAGATTTTAACTTGATTAGATATCAACAGGACAAGAATAATGGTAATATTAATCATCATTGGGCTGATAAGTTCAATGCATGGGTAGAGATCTGGAGTCTGTTAGAGATTAGGATGTCAGGTAGGAAGTTCACCTGGGCTAATAACCAGGGTGATCCTGTCATGTCTACTATTGACAGGATTTTTTGCACTACTGAGCTAGATGCTCTGTTTCCCTTGAGCACTTCTCAAGCCCTTCCCAGAACAGGCAGTGATCACACTCCCCTGCTCTGGGATTCAGGCATGGGGGACTCCCCTAGAACATCCAGCTATAAATTTGAAAAATGGTGGCTACTACACCAAGATTTCAAAGACCTAGTTGCAAAAAACTGGGCTGTTCCAGTTAAGATGACTAAACCTATAGATGTGTGGCAGGAAAAAATAAGGAGATTTAGAGAATTCTCTAGAGGCTGGAGTAGAAATTTAGAAGCTAATATTAGGAAAAAGAAGAATGAGCTCACTATAGATTTTGATATGCTAGATATCAAGTCTGAAACTACACATCTGTCTGATATAGAAAATGATAGAATGCAGAACATCCTTAAAGAACTTCAGGCCATCTGGCTGAAGGAAGAAACTAAAGCCAGGCAGAGATCTAGAGAAAAAGAAATCCTGGAGGGAGATAGAAATACCAAATACTTTAATTCTGTAGCCAATCAAAGAAGGAGGAAGACCCTGATACATGCTTTAGAAGGGCCAAATGGCACCACATCTGACATCAATGAGATGTTAAAAATAGCTTCTGATTTCTATAAGGATCTTTTTTAAAAAGAAGATAGATTTGGATTCTCTTTAAATCAAAATTTCTTCTCCATTGAGGAGAAAATCTCAGATGAGAAAAATGAAGCTCTTCAAGCTCCATTTACTGAGGAAGAGGTGAGGGAGGCCATATTTGGTTCCTACTCTGATGGAGCCCCTGGGCCAGATGGCCTCTCTTTCCTATTCCTCCAGGAATTTTGGGAGATCATCAAAAAAGATGTAATGGCAATGTTTAAGGATTTTCATGCTGGTGATTTAGACATCTACAGGCTCAATTTTGCCATGATAACTCTTATCCCGAAAGAGGAAGATGCCACCAGTATGAAAAAGTTTAGGCCAATTAGCTTGTTAAACTGCATCTTTAAGGTTTTCACCAAGGTACTAACCAATAGGCTTGCTGTTATTATGAATTTTCTAACCTCCAATAATCAATCAGCCTTCATAAAAGGGAGGTTCATCCTAGAGAGTGTTGTAACTGCCCATGAGGTCTTGCACTCTACTTACCACTCTGACAACCCAGGCTTGGTGCTCAAACTAGATTATGAGAAGGCTTTTGATAAAGTCAACTTGGACTTTCTGATGGACATCCTGCATTTAAGGAATTTTGGCCCTGTTTGGATTAAATGGATCCATCAAATCACTCATATGGGGTCAGTGGGTGTCAAGGTAAATGGAGTAGAGAGTAGCTTCTTTATAACAAACAAAGGACTAAGGCAAGGGGATCCTGCTTC